TTTTTTTTTTTTTTTTTTTTTTTTTTTTTTTTTTTTTTTTTTTTTTTTTTTTTTTTTTTTTTTTTTTTTTTTTTTTAATACTTTTTTCACGTGACTCCGCCCACTTCCTCACACACTCCGCTTTTGATTGGTCGGCGCAACCACCGTGCGCGTGCACAACGCCCCGATTCCCGAAACAGTCTCTTTGCGTAACGCGCGTGCTCCTGCGTGGAGAACCAGGCGCTGTTACGCAGACGGCGTTAGGAGCGTAACAGCCCAGTCCGGGCGGAGAAGGAGAGGGGAGGAAAAGCAGGATTCAGCGCAGAGCCTTTTTACAGTAGCTGGCCTGCTTTAATCTGAAGATTCCCACAGGGCTTTCAGCCATCCAGCTACCATCCGGTTTGACTGGAGCTCATCACTGACAGCGTTTCCGAGTTTATGGATGGTGGAAATCAGGATCTGTCTATGAACAGTTTTTATTCCGTGACTGGTATTGTCCATGTTTTATCTGCAGCGTTTTGAATGCTGGGCAAAGCTGAATCAGGCAGCCGCCATGGCCAGTGGATGGAGCGTGGAGCCCGTCGGTTTTAGCAAAGCTAGCTAGCTTCATTTGGAGAACATAGTTAGCTACCTCAGCCTATTTAACGTCAAAAATAGAGCTCAGATAGAAGCTAGTTTTGCTTTGTTTCTCGTTTTAGCTCCATTTTAGAAGCCTGTGGTGTTACTCCTGTGCTGTAATTTGCTTGTGTAGCTTGCTGCTACTAGCCAGCTAACTTGCTAATACGGTCAAGACGTTTTTTTTGGTGGTTATTTGTCGTGCTCCTGCTTGTTCTCGTGCCTGACTGTTAGACGTAGCCTTTTTTTTTTTTTTTTTTTTTTTTTTTTTTTTTTTTTTTTTTTTTTTTTTTTTTTTTTTTTTTTTTTTTTTTTTTTTTTTTTTTTTTTTTTTTTTGAATGACATTTTTACATTTTGCGAAATAAACCTACGAAGAGCTTGGAGCAGAAAGTCGTCCAGCTCTCCACAGACAGCCGGGGGAATTTAGCTGAGCAGCACAGACCCGTGAAGGAGGACAAGACAAGGCGCAGTCATTGCGCTGATAAAAGAGTTCTTAAAGAATTAAAGCATCGCTAAGAAGGAAAGAAAAAACCGAAAGGAAGATTGGGAGAAAGATGTCTGGTCGGCCCAGAACCACGTCGTTTGCGGAAAGCTGCAAACCCGCCGTGCCGCAGCCTTCAGCGTTCGGCAACATGAAAGTCAGCAGTGAGTATCAGTTTCCCACATCTCAGGCTTCCTGTTAAAGCGCTTCTCTAAGTCTGGTTCACATGGACACTGTCAAGCATCAGGGTTGAGCAGAAGTCAGCTTGACTGGAAGATAAAAAGACTAAATGCTTGGGTGTGTTGGAATGTCCAATATGTCTTTCCTGTCAGCCTCAGAAATAGTGTCGCATATTTAATCTGACTCAAATCAGAGACCTCCATCATTTAAACAAAGACTGATCAGACTGATTAGACTGATCAGACGAGTCACGTCCCTTCTGATCGGATGCACTGGGAAGAACTCATGAAGCATCCACTGATCCTCAGAAATAGTGTCCCACATTCAAGCTGAGTGACAAGACTCAAATCTGAGACCTCCAGCATTTAAACAAAGACTGATTAGGCTGATCAGACGGGTCACATCCCTTCTGATCGGACGCACTGGAAACAGTTCATGAAGCATCCAGTGATTCTGCTAGAGATCCGAGTGCTAGAGGACATGCCTGAAAGGCACGTTCACACCCCGCGTTAACATCTGCATCAGTTCGTATAGGTGTGAACGCAGTGCGAAGCGTTTCACCGATGCACTCTCAGACCGCTTTTACGAGACACGTGAAAATGCCAGTTGGAGACGGCTATGTGTCTCGGCTGATGTCTCGTAATCAGGTCACCTGAGAAAAGTGATCAATTCTACGATATATCGCAACATTCAACACACCCGGGACGATTAGATTGAACACTTCAGCTCATGTTCCAGTCAGGGGGTTTCCTTATTTTGGCCAAGTTTGGTATAGATGAAGGAAATCTGGTAAATCTGTTTTCCGGTCAGTACACAAAACCATAAGAAATGGTTATCATGATCATTCTGTAAGTACGATAGTATGAGCAATGCATATATACCATGCAGTACATTGACATGAATTGGGGAAATCGCGG